CCACGGGGGAAATGGTGGGAACGGGGGTGGTGCCCGCCTTCCTAAGTAACCCTCCTCTTACCAGGATTTTCTCAAGACCCACCCGCCCACTTTCACACCGACAACTGAGCCCCTAGATGAGGAGCACTGGCTTCGCATTCTGGAGCAGAAGTTTCTGTTGCTCAATGTGGCCGACGAGCAGAAAGTGCGCTTTGCAGCGCAGTAGCTATTGGGGTCCCGAATGCATGGTGGGATACCTTCCATGCCATGCAGTAGCCAGATCATCAAGTGACCTGGTAGGAGTTCACCGCGGCATTCTGGGAGTTTTATATTCCTGCTGGTATCCTCAATCGGAAGCTGACTGAGTTCCTAAAACTGCGACAAGGGAGTATGACAGTGATGGACTACGTCAATAAGTTCAATCACTTGTCTCAGTATGCTGGCATTCATGTGGACACTGACGAGAAGAAGAATGACCGCTTCTATCGCGGCCTCTCTTACATCCTTTAGGAGAACTGTACACTAGGAACTATCAGACCTTCGGGGCAATGATGAATGCTGCCATCGCCATGGTGGGCTTACAGCGGGATTCCCAGGCAGAGTGGAAAAGGAAGCGGGTGGCTACGGGCTCTTCTAGCCACCCTCATACTCAGAAGGTACAGGTTGTCCGATGGGTGCCCTATCAATCATCAGGCGGGCATTTGTTTTGGCAGCCCCAGCAAACTTCTCAGACTCCTTCCACGCAATACCGTGCACCCACCCAGCAGGTGCAACCCCAGCAGCCTCCAGGACAGCAGGACCCACCTCGCAAAGGATTTGGAAACAAGCCTGGCGCTTGCTTCAAATGTGGCAAAGATGGCCATTATGCCCATGAGTGTCCCCATAACCAGCCAGCCTAGTCTGCTCAACCATCGGTGAACTCTAGGCTAGTCAAGCGGACAGTGATCAAGAGGAAAGTGCCAACCAGCTGATTTGGATAGGTGAATTTCACGGATGCTGAGCAGATATTACAGCAGGAATCGGTGATGGCTGGTATGTTTACCATCGATTCTCATCCAGCTTATGTGTTGTTCGATTCTGGTACATCACATTCATTTATGAGCTTGGGATTTGTAGACCGGCACAATATACCACTTATGGCTATACCATATGCCTATATAATATGTACTACGGGTTCACAGATGTGCATCAATACCCGAACGGACACCGTAAGCTTGGTATTAGCCATCCACACTTACCACCTATAGTTCATGGTACTGCCTGGGCAGGGCATTGATGCAATTCTTGGAATGAACTGGTTGCGAGTGTATAGGATAGTCTTGGATTTGAAGCGGAGAATTGTCGAGTTATGGCTTCCTTCTTCTGAGGATAGGGTCTCTTCCTGTAGCCTCAGATCCAGTCTTACCTATTGCTGCTCATGCTGAAGCCTCTCCTGATCTTACCTCTATTCCGGTAGTATGTGAGTTCCTGGATGTATTTCCTAAAGATCTACCTGGGTTGCCACCGGACAAAGAGGTGGAATTCTCCATTGAGCTAGAGCCTGGTACTGCTCCTATCTCCCGACGCCTGTACCACAGGGCTCTAAGAAAATTGGCTGAGATGAAGAAGTAGCTGGAAGAGTTGATGGAAAAAGGTTTCATTCGTCCTAGTTCTTCACCATGGGGTTGCCCAGCCATTTTTGTGAAGAAGGATGGCACCCATCGGATGTGTGTGGATTACCACCCTCTTAATGCGGTGACGATTAAGAATAAGTATCCTTTGCCCCGCATAGATACTTTGTTCGATCAGCTAGCTGGAGCCAAGGTGTTCTCCAAAATTAACCTTCGTTCAGGCTACCATCAGATCAAGATTAGACCACAAGATATACTAAAGATAGTTTTTTCTACTAGGTATGGGCTGTATGAGTACCTAGTAATGTCTTTTGGTCTTACCAACGCTCCTGCATTCTTCATGTATCTGATGAATTTAGTCTTTATGCCAGAGCTGGACAAGTTTGTGGTAGTATTCATTGATGATATCCTGATATATTCCAAGAATGATGAAGAGCATGCCCAACACCTTCGGATAGTACTGGCTTGACTAAGGGAGCACAAGTTGTATGCTAAATTCAGCAAGTGTGAGTTTTGGTTAGATCGAGTGTAGTTCTTGGGGCATGTGTTGACACCTAACGACATTTCTATAGATCCCAACAAGGTGCAAGATGTGTTGAATTGGGAGTCTCCCAAGTCTGTGCACCAGATTCATTAGTTCCTTGGTCTAGCTGGGTACTATCGGCGTTTCATTTCGGATTTTTCCAAGACAGCTCAGCCAATGACCAAGCTGCTCTAAAAAGAAGCCAAGTTTGACTAGAGCCTAGCCTGTGAAGAAGCCTTCCAAGCTTTGAAGACATTTCTGACCACTGCTCATGTGTTGGCCCAACCAGATATTGACAGATCCTTTGATGTATATTGTGATGCCTCGAAGACGGGGTTGGGATGTGTGCTTATGCAAGATGGGCGTGTGATAGCTTATGCTTCGCGCCAACTGAAAAAGCACGAAGTAAATTACCCCACCCATGATTTAGAGCTGGATGCTGTGGTACACGCTCTAAAGATTTGGAGGCACTACCTCTTGAGCAGCAAAGTGCATATTTTTACAGACCATAAGAGCCTCAAGTATATTTTTACTCAGTCTGAGCTGAATATGAGGCAAAGGAGATGGTTAGAATTGATAAAGGATTATAACTTGGAAGTCCATTATCACCCAGGAAAGGCCAATGTTGTAGCTGATGCTTTGAGCCGAAAGTCACATCAGGTTGAGGAAAAACACCTTTGTCTCTCAACCATGCAGAGATGTTGGCTCACATTGCATTGACCTCAGAATTGCTGGAGCAGATTATTCTTGAGCAGAGGCAAGACCCTGAAGAAATTCCCACATCATGAAATTAATTGCCGAAGGGCGTGGTTCTCACTTTAGTGTTGATGAGCATGGAGTAGTAAGATACAAGGATAGACTAGTGGTTCCATCCAGTGAGGGGCTGAGAAGGAAGATTTTGAGTGAAGCCCATCATTCAAAGCTATCTATTCATCCTGGCAGCAACAAGATGTACCATGATCTGCGCCACTTGTATTGGTGGTCTAACATGAAGCAGGACATCACCCAGTACATCACGGAGTGCGACACCTGTGGGCGAGTTAAAGCAGATCATATGCGTACTCTGGGATATTTGCAGCCCTTGCCCATTCCTGTTTGGAAGTGGAAAGATATCTCCATGGACTTTGTGGTAGGTTTGCCCTGCACATCCAAGGGCTATGATTCTATTTGGGTCATTGTGGACCGTCCAACTAAATCTGCTCATTTTATCCCGGTGGACACCAGATATGCAGCCAGGAAGTACGCTCAGATATACTTTGACCGGATTGTGACTCTGTACGGGGTTCCCCTTACTATCATCTCTGATAGAGGGTCAATCTTTGTCTCTCGTTTTTGGGACTAGCTGCAGCAATGTCTTGGTACTCGTCTCCTCAGAAGCTCCGCATATCATCCACAAACTGATGGCCAAACCAAAAGGGTTAACTAGGTGCTCGAGGACATGTTGAGAGCTTGTACCATTTCCTTCCCTGAGAAGTGGGATGAATGCCTGAAGTTAGTTGAATTTTCGTGCAATAATAGCTACCAAGAAAACATCCGCATGGCACCATTTTAAGCTCTATATGGAAGAAAGTGTAGGACACCACTCAACTGGGTTGAAGTGGGAGACCATGGGTACTTTGGGCCTGAGTTCATCAAAGAGGCTCGAGAGCAAGTCAACATTATTTGGAGTCACTTGAAGGCAGCTCAAAGCCGACAAAAAGCTTATGTAGATAAACGAAGAAGGCCCTTAGAGTTTGCAGCTAAAGATTATGTGTATCTCAAGGTGTCTCCTATAAGAGGGGTGCATCGGTTTGGTATCCATGGCAAGCTAGCCCCTCGATATGTTGGTCCTTATCAGGTGTTGGAGAAATGTGGTCCAGTTGCTTATCGTCTCCAGCTTCCCGATATTTTATCTGCGGTACACGATGTGTTTCATGTATCGCAATTGAAGAGATGTTTGCGAGTTTCTGATGAAGCTATAGAAATTGAAGGGTTTTCCCTCCAGCCTGATTTGACTTATGTTGAGCACCCTGTCAAAGTCCTGGATAAAAAGGAAAGAGTGACAAGGAACAGTGTGGTAAAGTTCTACAAAGTGCAGTGGTAAAATCATTCAGAGGATGAGGTCATGTGGGAACAAGAGAGTTACATATTAAAGCATTACCCCCACATTCTCTCTGGTTCGGATAGTTAGTTGTTGCATTAAAATGTATTTTCTATCTCCTTCTCACACTAGGCACATAAAATCTCGGGTCGAGATTTTATTTTAGGGGGTAGATTTGTAACACCCTCTGTGTTACACTGTACAGTTTTGGCTAAAACACAGCATGAGCATTATACTTATGTGTAATTGTGTGTAATATAAGGTGTAAAGCAATATACGGAACTTGAAACGTTCAATTGAAACACGAAACGAATGTAACAGTTCATGTCGCGTTGTATTACTTAGGGTCCTAAATGAATTTTTATTGAACGAAAATGTTATAGAACGCATATACGAAACTTTGGTAAAGTTTGTAGCATGAGCTTCGTAGGCGATGATGAAATACTTGCGGTCGAGAATGGGATTCGTTAGCTAGCATACTTGATAGCTTGCAAATCAAATTCGACACGAATCCGAATGAAAACTTAGTCATTTTCTTAAGTCGGAAAATGGATCGACCAAGCAAAGTTTGGGAATTTTTATAGGAGGATCAGGTTAAGTGGTGGCATGGGTTTAGGGTTCGTTTTAATAGCTTGGCATGCCATCTTGAGCGTAAAATAGTTAGTTTAGCGATCGAAGCCTTGAGGTGAGTTTTTGGGACACTTTAGCTGCCTGGATCTAGGTCTAGCCTCCTTTACTACCACACCACCCTCATCTAGGCCTCTAGTGCTTGTAAAGGATACCGAGAACGAGAAGCAACCGACGAGCGATGGAGATTGAAGGAGGCGGAAGCGGATCGGTGGAGACCCTTGGCACTGGCAGCGGCAAGAAGCGGCCATATTCTCCGCGCTGCGGCGAGGATTCACCCAAGTCTTCTGCCATGGATGCTGACGATGAATGGTTTGTCAACGACAGCGGCAGCGAAGAAGGGGACGATTACGGGAATCAAGGTAAAAACTCAAAATCACCTGTATGTTAGTTGGTAATGCCGAATTCTTTTTATCAAAGAAAATCATTCACAAAATCTTATAACATTGAAACGAATCTTTCGATCTTAACATAATTAGACAGTTACAAGATTTCTCCTTGTGGGGGTCGTTCTTGGGCGGTGGTCTTTGGAAATTTGTATCGAAATGCTTAGGGACTGAATTCTGAAAATCCATCCCTGTAGCACCATTAACACTTCGTCAATGCGTGAAGTGATGTCTGGGCTCATTGAACTATGCTTGTGGATTCGACTGCTTTTGTTAGCTTCTTCATCACTTCAGAAAATAAAAAATATTTTAAATAATATAATATTCCTAACAGGAATTTCGTAGGAAAGAAAACATCTACTGAGTTGCTGTAGAGGACCTGATTTGGCATCGTAGAACCACCTCTTCTGTCAAAATCTTAGTTCTTTCTCCTTTATTTGTAAAATATTGCAAATATTGCTTCGCAATGTTGCATGAACTATTTCCTATGTTGCAGCGGTTCAGACATCACAGTTTGGTTCTTTTTTATATCTGAACTTGATTTAAGACATAATAAACAAATAAGTGTATTTTCATGGTTTAATATGTTTTCCCTATAAGAAGCTTAAACTTTCATTTTGTACATTCAAAACATCCCATAGATTCCCACGATTATAACCTTCACCCCATCATAACCTATCCACAACACCTTGGTATAAATAAGAGAATTTAATATCTGTAATTTTTACGTTCAAAAAAATATCTGTAATTTTTATACATATGTCTGTATACAGCCACGTGAATTACAACTGATTTCAACATACTACATGTTTGTTGGAACAATTCATGTATGGGATTGCATTTTTTTGTGCTGATTTTAATGATATTTTATTTGGTGTAGGGATGTGCAGCCCTTTTATAGTCGATAATTTTCCAAGGGCTAGTTGGGACCATGACGAGCAATCTGATTTGGTATTTGCAAATCCAGAAACTAAACTTCGTGGGCCTTCACCAACGATGCTTTTCCCTCCATTCAAAAGTGGAAGGCATTTATTTGATTCAGAATATAATCTCAATGATAAATCTGAAAGTAAGTATCTTTTTCTGCTTCCCCCTTTCGTCCCATATATCATATATTCTAAACTAGCTGGCACTCTATACACATTATATGTTTTAGCATCGATTTTTAGCAGTCAGTTTGACCAATGTTGAGGATTGCTTAAAGGAATGTTGTTGCCTTCCGATGGACTTGATTCAATTCGTTGATGTTAAGATTGCTGGTTATCAACATAGCCGTCCTGGTCGAGCCAAGATTTTTGGTTTTGTCGCGGCACGGGACACAGTCAAGCCCTTGCGCAACTATATCTATCGGCGTGCTATTGACAATTGTGAAGCCGTTCCTGTGAAGCGAAAAACGGTAATTATATTTGGTTTACAGTTTCTAGGCTTGTAATTATCTGTGTGCGTGCTCCTTTTAATCATTCATAAATATCTGTACATGTAACACTAGGATATGTCAAAACTGCAATTTTCCACATCTAGATTTAGGTACCGCTCGTATCACTTTGGGATAGTGATCTCAATTTCTTCTGCAACAGATCTAATTCGACATTTGAATCTATAGGATTTGTGAAGTGAAAGGTAGTATTTGGTTTGCAAACTGCAATTGTCTACATGCATGCTCCTTTTATCATGAAAAAAAACAGCAATACATTAGCTATGTTCAAATTTAGCATAGTGTTTTGTAAATGCAGAGTTTGTGACTACCATATTTATTGTGTGCTGTAAAAAGTTAACAGTCTGCATGGTCGTAATTCATTTTGCAAACTCCAACGACTATCTTCCTGCATGCGCCTTTTTCAATCTGAAAGTGCATACTCTGTTATGAATTTGCCAATTTGTAAATTTGTGCATTTTTATAGAAATTTTTGTACTTATCAGACAGCAATTCACTCATATTTTTTGTAAACCAAAATTGTTTGGTGTAGGAGCATGTTTCACTTTTATTTGCCATGTAGACATGCTGTGTTAGGTATCAGAAGATATATGACTGACTTTGTTGCAGGGCACGGCACGTTTGTCTCTGAAGAGCCCTACTCGGGTCATTTCAATGTCAACCCGTGCATTGGTCGAGTTTGAGCTCCATGCCCAGAGTGAAGAGGAGGCAAATGGTGATGATGGTCCAATCATTGAAGGATGCACTGAGCTATACAATATGTTTGAATCGAAGTCGTTCATTCGACACAAACGCCTGTACGGCGAAAGGTGTGCTCTGGACATCAAGTACCTGGTGCTGATGAATGCGGTGGAGGCCCGGGTTGAAGTTACAGTCCTCCGCTCCGCTGCCATTGATGACGTCGTCAACATGAAGCTGCTCGCCAAGACCAGCGGCTTCAGTGAGGTGATCCGGCTTTTTCGTGGCGTGGCTCCAAAGCTGGGTTTCATGACGAGCTTTGTTATAGCGGTGGAGAGACATAGCGACTTTGATCTCTACATCAAAGGGTATCCAAGAGACCATCCTAACGTCGACCAGAAACTAGTGCCGTGTTCACGGTGGCAATGTAGCTTCGCCTCTGGGTACCATGGGACGGATGATGAAGTGGCAGAGCTAGGGGACTTTGGAGCTAGCGGTCTCAATCAAGGTCACTTGGAGATCCCACACGAAGAATAGTGATGAATAGGCTTGGTATCCGGCAGCCAAAACATTTGATTTACCAACTTCATTATGTTCCAGTGAAATGTGTCATTCCTAAAGGGCAGATGTACCTAGTTGCTTTTTACCGATACCTTCATATGCTAGCTTATTCTCGTCTGTGTTCCTGTATGTGTTTTTCAGTTTCATCTGGTTTGGTTTCCGGCCCAGATTATTCTGGCTGGATCTTATCGAACGTTCATATGAATGTCCTTGTTCCAGCATGCCTGACCCAGACGAAAACTCGTGAAATGATGTCATCAGACAGCAGCACGAACTCTGTTATGTCTTATCTGTAGCAAGCATATACAGATAAGTTGTAGCCAAATCTAACATAAAGGGGTACGGTTCAATATGCATTTTGTAAGGCTCCAAGAAATTGAAACAAGCATCGAAAAGACATCATGAGAAGAAGCCTCAAAACAGTTAGCATTCCCTTTTCTCACAATAATTCGACACTACATGCTATATCTCAAAAAGCAATGGTGTATAGTGCAGTGGCCTATTGATCCACAGAAAACAGAAGTTTTTGAGCGTTAACAAGTACGAACACGGTCGCACACGGCATTGAATTTCTGAGGAGGCAAAAATATTATACAATAGTTCCCCAAAAACTACAAAATTATGTCACCTGCAGGTATTTCAATCGCAGATCTTCAACCAATATCTTTTACATGACTCTAAAATATCTCATCTTCATGTTCACTTTGCAGAATCCATTAGCACAATAATTCTCTATGTGTGTTAAACTTATGCTATCAAGAATTGGGAGGAGGAAAGGGAGGGTGATGGGAGGCACCTTATGGGGGCCTAGGTGACGATTCCAGTGGTCAGGGTAATTGTCGGTGCTTGCGGCTCCATGCACATTGGTTGCAGCATCCATTCGAATGGAAACAAAAGAGAGATAGAGGACGACAAACAAATGAAATGGCTCAGGCCCCAATAATTGGTCTTTCCTAGAAGGATGTACCTATAATGCACAGCCACACACCTTATAAACACAAAAGAAATGATTAGGATGGAAATAATGTTAGAAATATTTTGGCAGTCCCTATTGCGAGCGGCCTCTGCCACTGCCCACCATAGGCCCTTCATGCCGCCCTCCAATCTACTAACCAAGGAGGCGAGTCGCCGCTATCCACCACACCCGATCCCGCACGGCTCTAGGGGCAAACCATCGCTAGCCTCTTCCGACACCAACACAAACTACTTCAAATCTCAACCCCCCCCCCCCTCATGCCGCCTCTTCAACTACATGTGAACCGGCCTCCCTGAAGTTCACTTTATATGCGGTCCCTAACCACAAGAACCCTAGCCATGACACGTTTAAATGTAGAGGAGTAGGACAACCTACCTCATGAGGGAGTGAGAAAACAGTGTTGCAAGCTATTATTGATAGGAAGCGAATATAAGGTTGAGCCGGCGCCGCAGGATTTGTTTTGTTCCAATCAGCCACAGAGGTGTGCTGGCATGACAACTAACGCATGCATATTCGGCAAGTAGTCTTAACAAAAAAATCACAATATAAACGTATACGATTTAACGTTTAATTTGGCAATTAAGCTCATATATTAAACAACATACTATAGTTCACATGTATATAATATATGGGTTCACGATAATATTGTACCAAACTCCAATCTGCTTCTTACAATACAACCATCAACATGACCAAGCGGAAGTTATATATCCAGGTATGCATACCATCATGCCCCACATTACTAAGACCAAATGACACACATATACCACATATGCAATGATACGGTGCATATACTAGTACAAGCATACGCACATAGCTTATCGACTAGTTATTACGGAAACATACAAACCATGCATTATTTCACAAAATGCAATGCAGATGATATAGATATAACATACATATTTATGCGAATTCATAACTTTTCCTCCTCCCTCCACGTTCACTTCTTTCAGTACTTCCATGGGCCAGTCACGGACATCATTGACGAGATCTCAGCGGCATTAGCCCGCTCATCCTTTTGCGACACCATCGAGGACGGCCTACTCTCCGGTGCAGCAACATCGAAGCCCCCAGCGCTAGCTGCTCCCATGTCCATGTGGCCAGCTATAGCCTCCATGCCCATCTGGCCAGCTACTGCACCCATGTCCATTTGGTGGTAGAAGTTCATCGGCAGTGGCGCGGCCATCGGATTGCCGAACAGGGCGCCATTGATCTCAAGCCGGCCCGCCGGTACTACCAATACCTGACATAGGCGGCATCCCCACACCGCCGTTGGGGTAGTAGGGGGCCACCGGGTCCATGGCGAAGTCTGGCAGGATGGGAAATTGCATGGCCATGGGCACGGGCAGTGGCAGCTGCAGCGGCATGGGGATGGGGATGGCCAAGATGTTGTTTTGATTCTGATCAATCTCAGCGCCAGCCATGGCCACCTGGTACACTGGTGCAGTCGTCTTCTTGATCCTAGTGGTCTTGTCAAACACACGACAGACCACCCACTCATTCTGTGAGAATTTCATTTGTAAATCGGGAGCAAAATCAGATTAGGCTAAGCAAATAAAGAAAATAGTATATGGATGCATGCATCATGCCGGTGCTGTTACCGCTACCACGCACCTTGTCAGTAGAAGCTGAAGCTTTCATGGCCGCAACGGCGTTAGCGACTAAGCTAGATGCCGATGCAGGGCCGAGGAGCTTGCCGCTCTCTTCGAGTCTGTACTCATGCATCACCCAGTTGGTTTTATCACCCCTAGGAGCCCTGCCCTCGTAGAAGACGAGCGTCTTCTTCATGCCGACTAGCAGCACCACCCCTTTTGTGGTGTTGTAGACCTCCTTGTCTCTTCCTGTTGCTTTCCAATAACCGGTCTTTGTGGCCCGGTTCGCCCTCAGCCCCGTCGGGTACTTGTGGTCCTTCTAGTAGAAGAAGTACCACTCTTTCTCTCCCCATTTTGCTTCATCTGCAGCATGCGAATCAAGCGCCATATATTAGTCGATGACTAGCATAGCAGCATGCATCCACTACACGGATCAAACAAGAACAAGGAGTATATGTATGTAGGTCGAGGTTGCTTGTTATGTACCCGGGAGGTCCCATGGCTCAGTCTTGTTTAGGTCGACCTCTCCGATGGCGATGCAGGTGTAGTCCGTGTTGCGCACCTTGTTCATCAGGTAGTGGCTGACAATCTCATCGTCAGTTGGGTGGAAGCAGAACCCTGGAGGCAGGTCAAGGCTGCCGGCTCGAACAGCGTTCATCTCTTGCTGCTGGGGCTGCTGTTGGTCCGCCATGGTTCTCTTGCTCCTCAGCTAAGATCAGATCCAGGAAGCACCAACAACCGTATCAAGCAACAAAGAAGAATCTCTAGATAGTACTGAAAAAACAAAGCATACATACATGCACAAACTCTTTCTTGACCTAACGGTTAGTCTGTTCGGCTGGCATTAAAGCCGACTACAGCTGTTTTATTCTAAGAAAAAAATACTGTAAATTCTAGTTGATAAACCAACAAACAGACCCCTCTCGCTCGCTCACCACGGATGCAGGACAAGTTGTTGTGGTACAGTGAGTCAGGCACTGCCACATGACTTAAATAGGCAGGTTGTGCAAGCCACTTTCCGCTGAATCCGCCTGCCTCTGCTGTCTCCCGTCTTTTCCAGTGGTGACTGTTTCTACTGGGCATTGGACTGTTGTTCTTTCCAACCGTGCCACGCTTGTCCTCGTGCACCAGGGCTCGCTTTTGCGCCAAGGCCTCGACCGCTACTGGTGATAGGTGGTGGGTTTATGGAATGTCTCTGCTTGTGTGCGGCGTGAAGCGTGCCACCTGTCGTGACCTCCCTCCGGTTTGCCTAGCCTGGCCTGCAATTCCTGTGGACGTATGCGTTCATGTGCCGCTCATGGATGCAGGCAGGCCTGCTCCGCCCGTTGCCTTGTCTGCATGAAGAAGAGGGTTATTGCGGATAGCGGCCGGGCATGTCGAGATGCGCGCGTCTGCAACCGAGGGCTACCGCAAGGCCTTCATGATAGAAAGTTGTGGGCAGGCCAGCCGTGGGGTCCATGTTGCCTCGCATGTAGTGCAGGGACTGCTGTAGCCGTAGGCATCCATCTGCAAGCAGGCCAATGACCGGTCTTTGTGATCTGGTGTCGATCATTGCGGCGCCGGAGCGTTACTCAATCAGTTTTTTGGTGCATGGAGAAACGCGTGCGCTCACGGCGTTGTGCCGATGCGGTGTGTTATAGCTGTGTATGTATATGTGCCCATTGTCATGTAGAAACCGTGCATAGATCGGTGCCCAACAGACAAGTACGCGTCCGAGCGTGCCAGCCCTGGAAACCATGGTCAGTTAGCCTGTTACTAAGCCAGCCAAGGAACAGGTGGCGACGAACGCTTGATTTATGCATGCATCGGGGGATATTTTCCTTTTCAATTCCTTACTTTCAAAGGAATTAATTTAGTAAAGCTATGTTCTGATCCATATCGATTCATCACACGTTGTGCATTCATATAGATGGCTAGAGTCCATGTCTACGTGCTTTCCAGGCCCGGTGAAATGGCATGGCATGCTACTTTCCCTAGAAAAGTGGCGGCAATGTGTGCTTGTCGACCATGGGTACGGTGCCATCTCATCCAGGAGAGGCTCCAGGTGTGATATACGTGAACGTACATGCTTATCAATTGCTTAGCTTGAATGGGGCTAATCCTCTAAAGTCATCTTATGGGTGTGCCCCAACCGGAAGGAATCGACCCAAGTATCTATCATCACATGTTCACCACACAAGCCACTGCAACCACACTTTAGATATGGTATCAAGGAATATACCCCACACTCGTCTCATCAACAAGGTGTAATTTCATGTTAGTATAAAAACTATAAAGGCCTTGTTTAGATCCTGGTTAGAAATCAATATTTGGCACCGTAGCACTTTCATTTGTATTTGACAATTATTGTCCAATCATGGCCTAACTAGGCTTAAAAGATTCGTCTCGTAATTTACAATCAAACTGTGTAATTAGTTATTTTTTTATCTATATTTAATACTCCATACATGTGTCCAAAGATTTGATGTGATGGAGAGAGAGTGAAAAAACTTAGAATCTAAACAAGGCCAAAGTAGCATATATTTGTCACCATAGGATAGATGTTAATCGTATGTCTCTAAACCTGGCAAGGAGGACCGATCCATTGTGGATTAACCTGGATCACCCAAAGGAGGATATGATGATGCATGGCTCAGAGGTAGGCCGAGTTTGATGGCACTAGGCTCGGTATCAGGTCGATCTCCTGCCTATGCTTTCCGGATTAACAGAGATGTGTTGTAAGAGGCAGATAAATGTGGCCACCGCTCTAGAACATTTTTTTACCACCTCTGTAGCTCTGTTTCCTGGCTAGTAGTGAGATTTATTGGATGGCCTGCACCTTGCTCAGTTGTCGTCGTATTGTATATTGCTGCCACAACTAGCTAAAAGTGTAGTGTGGTATGTAGACGTTGCATCTAGCCATAGCTACGGCACAGCCGCACTTGTGGCTTGGCTTCGTTGAGAAGCAAAGAGGACATGCCATGAGTCGTGAGTAGCTAGTCCCACCAATCTGTTGGAGTAGGATTCCCCCAGTGCTTTAAGATTGTCCCACAATTAATGAAAAACAATAGGATATATATCTGTTAATACATCTAAGATGATCTCATATCAATCACACTGATGAGCACGCAAGGCCAAAACTGTAATGGAAGGGGATATTACACTTTAACCCTCGTCACATTATTATTGGCATGAAACTCCTGTTGGTTGAGTACACTCTCCATCCATTGATAAATGGAAATTATGGAGCTTTGTTGATATATGACTCCGTTGATAATATGGTAAAATTGTACTCTCCATCCATTGATAAATGGAAATTATGGAGCTTTGTTGATATATGACTCCGTTGATAATATGGTAAAATTGATATACTAAATATGAACAATTGACAACCACATGCCCCTACAGGAAGCAATCAATGTATCTATCACCAGTTCACCACACAAGCTACTGCAAACACACTTTATATATATATATATATATAGAGAGAGAGAGAGAGAGAGAGAGAGGGTAAGGCTATTCTGCAGTTGGCCATAGAATAACTTATTCTATAACCATCTTGATTTACGATAATATTTGTACCAATTTACGATAACATAAATATGCATTTACGATACTCGTGTTACTACAACTCACGGTGATATTTACGATAATATTACAGTAAATCACTTAGTAAGGAGTTGCTGTTGTCTCATAAATTAGCGTGGTAATTATTGTAATTCAAAATGGCCATAGAATAAGTTATTCTATGGCCAACTACAGAACAGTATATATATATATACCCGGCATCACTCTTTTTCCTGTCTCGGCATTCGCTCGTCTCATCAACAAGGTGTAATTTCATATTAGTATACAAACTATAAAAGTAACATATATTTGTCACCATAGGATGTTAATAATTTGTCTCTAAACCTGGTGAGGAGGCCCAATCGACAAACCACAAACAGCGGAGTTGTTACGCCCGGCACTGATGGACTCGACTATTATGGAAGAATTGAAGAAATCTACGAACTATCATTTTATGGTTCCAAACCTCTTACTCCTGTCATATTCAAATGCCACTGGTTTCATCCTGGTGTAACGAGACGAACCCCTAAGCTTGGGCTAGTCGAGATTCCACAGGATTCCGTCTATCCAGGAAAAGATGTCTACATTGTGGCTCAACAGGCCGTCCAGGTTTATTATATGTCATACGTGTGCAAAGACGCCGAGCATCTTAAGGGTTGGTCTATTGTGCACAAGGTATCGCCACACGGTAAACTACCTGTCCCAAACGATGAAGATTATAACTTCAACCCAAACACATATGATGGAGAGTTCTATCAAGAAGAGGGGCTACAAGGGAGGTTTGACATAGACTTAACCGAAGAGATAGGAATGGAAGTAGATAATGAAAGAGATGATGACGAGAACGCTGGAGACGAGGTGCGAAATCTGAAGGACATACAAATGCTTGAGCGATTACATTTCGGCAATGACAATGAAGACAACATTCCTCCTTCGGATAGTGTTGATGAGTTGGACAATGTTGATAATGATGACGAGACCTATGATCCAAATAATTTCAATCATGAAGATTATTTCTAATACATGTAATACTATGTTTTTGTAATTATGTTTTGTTCATTTTGCATATATTTCTAATACATGTAATACTATGTTTTTTTTTAATTACGTTTTGTTTATTTTTGCACCTATTTCTAATTACGTCTTGTTTTTCTTTTTTTTATTGCGGTGATTGAGCAAAGATGGCGGGCGACCGTCCATAGGTCTGTGAACTCGATTTACCAAAGACCACGCCTGGTCGCAGGAGGGGGCGGAGGGGGCGCAGAGGGATCGAGCAGAGGAGGAGGACCGCTAGCCACGGGAGGGGGGCGTCTCCTCCGCCACGTGAGGAGGACCGCCACCCAGGAGGAGGAGGTGGCGCCTGTGGGACGAGTCGACGAGGAGTTGGTTCGGCAGACGGAGGAGGAGGAGGAGGTGGAGGAGGAGGAGGAGGGGGAGGCGGCAGGCACAGGTTCCGCTTCCTCCAACTCCTCTTCGAGTGTCTACTTGCGAGGTCCCGCGAGCCTCCCACAGTTTCCGCTTCCTCACTGGCGCCCAATGATTCGCCCCGAAGGACAAAAAGTAAGTAATCGTATATGTTATCACCACTACTTCATATGATATGATGAAAAAACTAATAATTTTTCTTAATTACTTGTGCAGAACCGGGGTTGTGTCGGGTGGTAGCGCATGGCTAGTCAACGGCATCCTGGGTCTTCTGTGCGCAAGACACTTCCCGGCATTGTCACGTCACGCGCCGAAGACGGAGCCGGCCTACTGCTTGACCACTACGCCGTCGCCTCCGATGCGGAGTACCCCAACAAAGCGGCGGGTGAAGGCGAGTTTTGGGTAAGTCTCCCTTGCACAACATTGCTCAATACGTCGCATTCATTAGACTTTTCTTGAAATAATGAATCGATGCATCGCTTTTGTATGCGAGACTTATTACGAGATGCGAGGAGGATTTGAGGCCGTATGGAGCAGCGACTACCAAAGCTCAGAAAAACTCATCACCGACATGCATCACGAGGCGCGCATCCAGGCCATCGTAACCTACTACGGGTCAAGCTTGGAGAGAGGAAAACCAAGAAAGACGCAAGAGAGATGCACGGTGACCCGGAGAGCGATTACCTTGAGGTAAATGAAGAACATCAACATTGATTCGAT